TATCAGTCACCTGTAATACGCAGATGAGTGACAGTCGCTGTCCTGCTGAGTCTGACAGATCTATGCATCGCTGCTGAATCTGCCACAGTATGCTTCATTTCAATGCAAGCTTGTTCTGCAGCCTTTAAAAGTCGAAGTTCATTTTTCCATTCATCGTGGAAAGGCAGATGGAACAGTGATTTATTTTTAACATCTTACATTTTCATCCAACTAAAATTGAATGGTGAATTAGCGAATAAACTGACAAAAGGTAAAAAAGTGTCCTCGTGGCTGGATATTAAAATGTTCTGAATAATTCAGTACAGTATACACACATAGAACGATCTCAAAGCACATGTCCGGTCGTCATTTAGATGTCATTTTTTCTGTATAGAAAAGATGAACGGCTTCCCCCCCACCCCCCCCCCCCCCGCCCCCCCCCCCAATAATCAGACAGTATTTCACTGTTACCTCTTTTACAACAGCTATGTAATGTTTTGTGACACCAATGTTAGATGACTAATTGATGTCATTTTGATATTAAGGTCGTTTACATGCTTAGACATGTAGAGATACAAAATCCAGTGTAAAAAATACAACTCATCCAGGTCCGGGTTATTATAGTTAACGAAAATGAACAAAAACTAAAATTGAAAATCATTTTCATTAACTTTAGCATTTTGGTTTATTATTTGATCCGTTAATATTTATGACCCTTCCAAATATGGTCAAAACTGAGCTTTCATTCTAGGCGTAATTCCTATGGTCATAAATAAGGCTACGTCTATGGCTTTTCTGTCTAAAAACACACTGTTAACACTTTAAAAAATATAAAAGATAAAAATATAGCTTAAGGGGGCTACTAATATTGACCTTAAAATGTTTTTTAAAAATCTACAAACTGCTTTTATTCTAGCCGAAATAAACAAATAAGAATCTCTACAGACGAAAACACATTATAGGAAATACTGTGAAAATTTCCTCGCTCTGTTAAACATTATTTGGAGAATATTAGAACAAGAAAAGAAAAACAAAAAATCACAGGAGGGTGAATAATTTTGACTTATATATATATATATATAATATAGAGCAGAGATAGCATTGCAATAATCATATCAGTCACCTGTAATACGCAGATGAGTGACAGTCGCTGTTCTGCTGGGTCTGACAGATCTATGCATCGCTGCTGAATCTGCCACAGTATGCTTCATTTCACTGCAAGCTTGTTCTGCAGCCTTTAAAAGTCGAAGTTCATTTTTCCATTCATCGTGGAAAGGCAGATGGAAGCAGTGATTTATTTTTAACTTCTTACATTTTTATCCGACTAAAATTGAATGGTGAATTAGCGAATAAACTGACAAAAGGTAAAAAAGTGTCCTCGTGGCTGGATATTACACACATAGAACGATCTCAAAGCACATGTCCGGTCGTCATTTAGATGTCATTTTTTCTGTATAGAAAAGATGAACGGCTTCCCCCCCCCCCAATAATCAGACTGTTTTTCCCTGTTACCTCTTTTACAACAGCTATGTAATGTTTTTTGACACCAATGTTAGATGACTAATTGATGTCATTTTGATATTAAGGTCGTTTACATGCTTAGACATGTAGAGATACAAAATCCAGTGTAAAAAATACAACTCATCCAGGTCAGGGTTATTATAGTTAACGAAAATGAACAAAAACTAAAATTGAAAATCATTTTCATTAACTTTAGCATTTTGGTTTATTATTTGATCCGTTAATATTTATGACCCTTCCAAATATGGTCAAAACTTTCATTCTAGGCGTAATTCCTGTGGTCATAAATAAGGCTACGTCTATGGCTTTTCTGTCTAAAAACACACTGGTAACACTTTAAAAAATATAAAAGATAAAAATATAGCTTAAGGGGGCTACTAATATTGACCTTAAAATGTTTTTTAAAAATCTACAAACTGCTTTTATTCTAGCCGAAATAAACAAATAAGAATCTCTACAGACGAAAACACATTATAGGAAATACTGTGAAAATTTCCTCGCTCTGTTAAACATTATTTGGGGAATATTAGAACAAGAAAAGAAAAAAAAATCACAGGAGGGTGAATAATTTTGACTTTAACAATATCTCTCTCTCTCTGTATATATATATATATATATATATATATATATATATATATATATATATATATATATATATATATATATACATAGACATATAGAGATACAAATACATGTGTAAAAAATACAACTCATCCAGGTCAGGGTTATTATAGTTAACGAAAATGAACAAAAACTAAAATTGAAAATCATTTTCATTAACTGAAATAAAAATAAAAACAAGGGTTTAAAAAAAAACTAGAACTAACTGAAACTGTATTGTGTCCCTGCTGAAGAAAACAGCCTAGGCAGGTTGGCTGGTTGACCAGCCTGCTTTTAGAGTTTTTTTTTTTTTTTTCATTTCCAGCCTGGTCTGAGCTGGTCAGACTGGAAAATGACCAGCTAAATGCAACTAAAACCAGACTGACCAGTCTGATTTAAACTGAACATAGCTGGTCATCTCCCAGCCTGACCAGCTAAGACCAGGCTGAAAATGGCTGAAAACCCCTCTAAAGCCAGGCTGGTCAACCAGCCAAAACCAGTCTGGGCTGGTTTAAGCTGTTTTTTTTTTCAGTATTGATACAAAACTAACTGAAACTAACTAAAAATATAGCAGAATCGTCCTTCGTTTTCGTCTTTGTAAATGTTTTTAATATATAATCCTACTGTAAGCCTTTTAGAAGTAACGTTAAATCTATTTACTTCATGCTGTCATGTGTCTGACCGCACCTCAGAGTCTGTGATGCCATTGGCCAGATCAAGCCGGTTCTCCTCCAGTCATCTTCGCTGCTGCTTCCTCAACAAAAACAGCAAGTGGACATGACAGCAGCACAGTGACAGCATTAAATTCAGTAACTTAAAAGTATTAATTGAACACATTTGTGCTGATAACGGGTTTAATTTTTGTATTTTTAAAGCCATAAATTTAGATTTTTTAATTTAAGACTTATCAATACTTTTTAAGACCCCGCGGGGACCCTGTAACCCAGAGCTCTGTCCTCGAGTTATTCATCTGTATCTAATAAATTACTAATATTTTTGACATTAAAGAAAACCCTCTCCTGACCTTTGAACACGCATGGAATTGGCTTGATACTCCAACAATATTTTAAAATAGGGCTGCACAATATGTATCGTATCAGCATCGATATGGCAATGGGATGTCTGACGATGTTTTCTGACGTATGCCGCATTTCAGGTGGTCAAATCTGTCCATGAGCTCTCACATCGTTGTGAAAAGCCCCGAGAGACTGAAAACCCCTGAAGTGCAAACCTCCTGCATCACTGACAACAGAGCTTGAGTATGAAAGGAATCTGAAGCAGCACTTGAGCCGGCGAGCGGTGACATTATGCATTCAGAGACTCGTCCTGATGGCGCTGCTGTTGACGGATCGGCCCGCAAACATCCAGCGATGTGGAGAGAGTCAAGCTGCAATTAAAAGCGACTGTCACTGGAGGTGCTTTAACCAACACTCACGCCACAATTACAGACGCAGGAGAGAAGGACATCAAATCCAGCTCTTTAATTAAAGCGGTTTTACGGGAAACATACAGGGGTAATTAGGCTCTCTCTGACAGCTCCGCAGAGCATTGCTTTTGTTACAGCATAGGCGATAAGACACGTAATCATAATTAATCTTCAGGGTTCTGATTTCCCGCAGTACACGCAAAACAGAAAAACAAAACACAGGAACACCGATAGCTGCGTTCACATTAGCTAATGCAGGTGTTGATGAACGGCTAACCAGCCCAATAAATCATCAAGTGTGTGGAAACGATGACACACACACGGTAAAGAGTAACAGCACAGCTGCTGCAGGCATCTGCCATCATGGAGTTTACACACACAGTCACGTTTCGCTCATCCACATCCGGCAATGTGATGCCATTCTGCCAAAAGAAAATAAGCATCTTGTTATTTCATGTATGACAGCAGGGACGGTTCTAGGATTTCCTCCTTAGGGGAGTTTTAGATTTAGGCTTTAGTCTAAACCCCCTCCTTAGGGGCTTTAGACTTTATTTAGGTGCTAAATAAAGTCCCTAAAGTGTGTGTGTGTGAAGTTTCAGCTCAAAATACCACACAAATAATGTTTTCTAACTCTCTAATACTGACCCTCTTAGGCTCTAATCCCAATTGGGGTGTTTTGGTGACTGTCGCTTTAAATTCAAATGAGATTGAGCTCTTTTCAGAAGAGGGCGGAGCTACAAATGCCTGTGTGTCAGCATAGTGGCAGATTCAAAAACAAGACTAGCATCCTATGCTAAAGCAGGACTTATACCTTCGCCTGGCGCCGCATCGTAGACCTCCACTGACTGCGAGTGCACCTCGCGAAACAGACGAGGCTTTTATACTTGCTGTGTTCGCCGTTGTGATATTCTTTAAAGGGCCATGAAACCCCCTCGTTTCAGCAGGGTGTTTTCACACCTCTACTTTGGAAAAAGTCAGAAAAGTGGGCGTGTCCAGCTCTGTTTAGGGGGGAGTGTCGGAGGAGCAAAAGAGGGATGGTGTGGGAGTGTCTATTTGGGCGCGCTGAGTTTCCGAGTCAAAACACACACACACACAGGGGACAAAATGACTGTGTTTATATGGACATCTGTAGTAGAATTATTTGCTAAATTATTAAATGGTGGACTTTAACTGCAGTTTGGCTCTTTCATTCAGGGAATTCATTCATGTCCCTCGCGACAAACGCGATATTTGATTCGAGGAACTGCTCTAAGCGTGTATTTTTCATGCAATGTTTGATACCGCACGGCGAATGAGAGAAAAAAAACCTCTGCATTTCCCGGAAACTTAGATGCACACGGCAGGTAGCGTCAGAAAGCCGCGTGTGTTATTCCGGTCACAAAATGCGGCGAAAATCCTACACGAGGTTAAAGTTTGGTTGTGGTGCTAACATGTTTACACTCGGTGCAATAGTTAACTTAGTTCGATACGAACAAACTGAATAAACAAAGAACACTGGTTGCTCACTTACCAAATCTGTAGAGACAGGACAATCACCAGCAACTAGAGCCGCTTCTTTATTAAGAGGAGACGACAAGCGAATCCGGATCTCAGCGTTTGCAGATGAGAACAGCTCTCAGGTAAACAATAATCCTCCTTAGACACGCAAGTTATTGTTGTCGAGCGTCGCGTACACTGTTAATCCACACGTGACTCCAGCTGAGCTCTCACAGAGAGAAAATGAAAACAAAACTTAACTGCAGCAAACTATAAAAGCAACACTTCATGCTTGTTTTGCCAACACAACGTGGCGTCTCTGTCGTCTAAACACTGTGACAGTAATGAATATTAATGAAGTTGCACAATAGAGCGCGCTGATTGGGTTGAACCAAGCGTTACTCATGCATTAATGCATCACACTGTAAGACGTAATAAGACTCACTCTGGCACAGACGTCCAGTCTGCACGCTGGAATACACGCTATTATCTCATGACCGTGACGCAGCTTCAAAAATTCGTTTCAAACCGGAAGTACGAATTTGCTTGAAATAACGCAAAAACAACCAATTTACACTTTTTAGTGAAATATAGGTGTCCTAATAGTGTTTTTAGCAGTGTGGGACACATATACGACTGTCAACAGCTCAACACATGTGTTTTGGTGTTTTGTGACCCTTTAATTAGATAGAGGGCAGTCAAAAAAAACTGACCTTAAAGAGCTCGTATTATACATGACAAAGGGTCATATTTCGGTTATATGGGTCTCCCAACAACATACTGATATGCACGCAAAAAAAAAACACTTTCATGTTCTTATATGCATTTATTTTTATCCAATTATCCCAGCGACTCCCATATGAATCGTTCAGCAACAAGACTTCTATCAGTAGTGTATTTGTGTGACGAAATGATCAGTTACCTCACTGAGTAATTGTTCAGAATTTATTTATTTTTATCTGAAAAGACAAACAGGACTATAGCCAACCAAATAAAAGAGTCTAGAACCGCCCCTGATTGACAGCATCTGTGTTGTTTCGGTTCATTGATCCGCTCACCTGCTCTACAGTAAAATGCGGTATTTAAGTGCTCGTGGGACTCTGTTGATCACCAGCCGCCCGTCGTAGCTGAGCGAGGCGAAGAGCCAGGGGTCTGCAGCGGACCACTCCACGGCATACACACTGTCCTCGTGCTCCTCATATGTGGAGATGATGCTATCTTGCAATGGCTCCTTCCCCCTTCACACAACACACACATCAGCAATCAATTCAAAGTCTATTACAATCAATATGTCTGACTTATGTTATAAGGTGACCTAGAGAGCTCAAATGTACTGCAAGTTAAGAAATCACTCCAATTCTTTAGTTCCCCTGGAGTAAACAGTTGTGTTTAGCCATTTTTTAAATTCATTTAAACAATCTTTGGTTCTGGTGGGGACACTTTTAGCTTAGCTTAGCATAGATCACTGAATCGGGTTAGACCATTAGCATCTCACTCAAACAAATTCGAAAGAGTTTTGAAAGTTTTCCTATTTAAAGCTCAACTCTTCTGTAGTTACATCATGTTGTGAGACTGACAGATAATGAGAAGTTGTTATTTTCAAGTCTAAGTCTAGGAGAGGGTTGCCCAAACCCGGCCCTTAAGGACTGGTGTCCTGCATAGTTTAGCTACAACTTCTTTCAACATTGCTGCCTGGAAGTTTCTAGTATACCTAGAAAGAGCTTGAATAGCTGATCAAGGTCTGTCTAATTGGGGTTGGAACTGAACTATGCAGGACACCGGCCCTCTAGGAGTCTGGGCACCCCTGATCTCGGAACTATACTCTCATTCTGACGTAATAATCAAGGAATTTGCTGCTGTACCATGACTGCATTAGACACACAAAAACTGTATCATATTAAATTGAAAAGAAAAATGGTTTTGGAATATTTAAATCAAATTACACAGCTAAAAATGCAGTGAAATGAATGGCATTGAGCTAAATTACAGTTAAACTTGTTGAAGGGAAGTGTACGGACAACCCAGGCTCACTCTCAAAAACGTAGTCCCGCGAATACGTCCCGGCATGTACGTACGGCCGCGTTAATTTTTTTCAAGCGAACGCTGCGGGGCGGTGTGACGCTGTTCCCTATCGTGCGTGCCGGCCGGCCGGCCGACCGCTTACCTCCTTGTGGAGGGCTTCCCCGCTGCAACCCGTTTGTCCACTCAGCGCACCGTGTACGTCAGCAGGCTCGAGATGCAGAGAGGAGTCGACCACGGCGACCGGTTTCGAGTCCGGGGAAGAGCGGTTCCAGCAATCAGGTAAGACAAAAACAGAACCCCAAAAATTAAGTGAACGAGTTTCATAACAGGGTGAGAACGCGGTGAAATCCGAAAACACGGTAGAAAAAAAAAAAAAATCAGGGCTTTTATTTTTTTGGACGGCTTTTGTAAACTGTTGCTCGGGTTTAGGGAAGCAAGGCGGGTTGATCGGTAAGATTGGTTGGGTTCAGGGAAGG